ATTATTAGCATACTTCGAATAGATTGTAGTCTTATGAAGCCATAGTTATATTAAAGTATCTAAGATTGTTTAATGTCGAGATGATGTGTTATCAGCACTAATTTACTTTACACTTGAGTCTAATTAGCATACTCACTTAGCGGGAACCTTTATATTCGCAGATTTAGGAAAGTTCGATTCTCCCGATCTCCCTATTTTCTCGACAGCAAAGTTAGTAGCTCATCCATTATACAAAATCATATTTGACAGACGAAAATATTAGATTAGCCGCCTACTTTTAATGAAAAGCTACTATCAAAATGCAGGCCCTACGCACTAGCAAAAGGCGAATTATCTGATATACTTCCAATTTAGACAAAATATACCACCTCAAATCCAAAGAGATTTTATTGTGAACTTGGCAAAGCACCATATGTGTGATCTACTTTCAGAGACAAAGGATGGGTCTTTAATGTCTACAAGTGGCCAGCATTGTCTATATAATTTCGGCAACCATTAGGCCGAATCATTGGAGCACTTTAAAGAAAATTTTTTGGGAATATCTAAGATGTACAATTACTTTATAGATTCTCTGCTTTCGATACAGATTCTTTTGAATGCTAGCATTTACACCGGTACCAGATATCGATAGCAATTAATGAAAATTTTCCTTAATACTCATTTACATATGATTGCTTATTTTCAATTAAAAAAGCATTGCTACATTCAGGAATACCTATAAGACAGCCTACTTCGGGTAGACATTTTCTACTTTGGAAAGCTTAAGTGTTCAGGAATTATAACCACTAAAGCAGTTACATTATAAAGAAGTGTTTTATTTATTGCTGACGTGGTATCTACACAAATTAACTGTAGAATTAAATCTCATCAGTATACCAACTTGTCTTAAACATCCATCGTTACCAGCCAGCCATCAACTAACAATTTCACGCCCAAAAGATTATTGTCAAGAGGCAGCACTAGAATCCAGTCAATGGGAATCAGGGTCAAGTACCTAAACAAGTGAGAGGAACCCTTAGACTGCAATAGCTTTTATCGAATTTATGCTACCTGAAGTTGATAATAAAGTAATTTTCAGCTCTGAAGATGTCTACAAAATGACGGGAAAGGATTCAGCAAGCTTTCTTCGGAACAGACTGAAGGCATCTTGATGGCTGAGTTTGCAACTATGTCAATAGGTGGTGGGCCAAAATAAAGGTATCATTGTTTTCAAGTAAAATCAGTCTGCGAAAATTTTCATCACACCCTGTCTTAGAAAATGGAAGTAAGTCTAGAAAATAGCGAAATCGATTACCGGGTTTTCTTGCTAATGGGCATTAAGCCCATTATTTTCAGTTGCTTGTTTCTAAAAAAAGATATAATCCGAAGTAGTTATGAGAATCATTTGTTGTTGGCCTTACCCTAAAATAGCTATTTTTCCAACGTTTTTTCTTGTTTTCAGTCGTGCGCAGGGGTACTGACAATTTCCGTGTCGACTATCCTCTTACCAGCGGTACCTATGTGCAATTTAGATGTCTTCCAGTGCCATCAACGAATCTTTCCGGAGAAATAACTTTCAACATCTGTTAGTTCCTTTTGTTGTCCACATCCTTATTAATATAGAACTAGTAGAATTTGACTAAAAGAGATATTTCATAGATTAAGCCCATCCAAATAAATCTAAATTTAGCCTTAACCTTCATAGTTTATATAGTCAAAACGTATCCCAAGTCTTCCAGTATTGAATAACTATAAAAGATTTTCTGTTATTTATTTCAATCTTGAATGTACAAATGTAGATTCCTGCGTTTAAGAAATGTCAACTATAAATTTATGCCTTAATAAATCCAATTTTCTGATGAATTTTTCCATCTATACCTCAATCAGCTTCGCCTGACCCACGTATCATACTCAAAGCCGTCTATGATGATCCAAACTCCATCTTTCCTTCTCAAGTTATCTGCAAAGATCTGAATCCTGAACTTGACTCAAAAATCATGTTATTCTCAGACAAGCTCAGCATGAAAAATATGAAAGTAAGATAATCAACCTGGTTATTCCTTGGCCCAAAAATTAAAATTGGTACAAAATTTCTTATCAGTATACATGCATAAGTTGCCGCCTTTTAGACGAGCATCATCATAACATTTTGCTCGCTTTTCCAACGTTATAATGCCTTTTGTACGTAGACCTCAAATATTTAATTCTCTTAGTCTGTTGACTAAATGAATATGTCAAACTCTTTATTTCCTCAACAAAACAAAATCTGCTACTATTTATAGTTGCGCTATTAAGCGATATTCCAATCTTCTCTTCCAAAACTTCCTGCTTCTGTGTCTCTCTCTTTAGACGAGTTAATAGAAAACCTGCATTAGCATCTGATCATCTTAAAGCAGCGGAGCATGATAAGCAAGATGATTACAAATAGAATTCCTAAGTTAAAAATAGTGCTGTAAAAACGCTCCATAAGCCGAGGAAGTGTTTTTTTAGTGTTGTATTGATTGCTTATAACTGATGAATCTTGCTGTAGTATATGATTTGCGATACTAATATTAATATTCGATAAGCATTATAGGAATACTATACTATCATATATTATGACCGAATTTTGGGGGAAATATTTTTGGCTGTTATAGCTACCAATCTGCCTAGCATTCATCAAAAAGAGTTTATTCCGACCCAATTCGAAGTTCAGCGTGAAGTAGACGAATAGCCTCTTTCATCTGATTCTTCCTAAACCCCTCCTTCTGTTGCTATCCACTTCACTTATTAATACAGTTACTGGTATTTTCGGAGTCGCCACCACCTTGGTTGCCCCGAAAAGCCAATTCAGACGGCCAGTTCCCAGAACGTAGCCAGGTCATCGACTTCCGACAGGTCGGGGGATTCGATCCAGCTCGTCATGCTGGTCAGTACACTTGCGAGGCGACTAATATTAATGGGGCTCGCTTTAAAAAGATGATTCTGCCAGAGATTACCAAAACAATTCCAGGTAGTTAGTTTTCTAGTCAGATTTGACTGCTTTGAACTTTACTTTACATGTATCTTTCTGAAGTAGGGCAATAATGACTAAACGGAGTCCTTTCGATATAATATATACTGATTTTAATGAAATATGTCTTTTATCATGATAATTATAGGGATGAAATGCAAAAAAGAAAGTTTACGCATAACAGAAGAGTATATTCGAACAAATCCATTCTTAATACACTTATCTTTTACTTCAACTTTAAGTAAGACATACAGATGAATAAGAAAGAGGGAATGGCTCCGATCAAGAAAATAGCTGAAAGCATTTAATAAAATTCAGGTACGCAGTTAAGAATTTCAGATACATAATTTATAAATTATTCAGCATTAGGGATTAATATAGATGATCTAGTTAATAAGAAGCCTCATTATTTTTAGGGAGTCATATGGAGGCAAGAACGAAATAATGAACGAAACTCGGAATGACTAGAATTCCAGTTATGGCTTCAGTTCATATTCTCTCCCCCCATACCACTTATTAACACTGCTTTTCATTCACCTAGTTATCTAATTAAAATTAACAGCTATTATTTATTGAATAACTTTTTGTTAATTTTTTATTTTAATTTTACGGATACTAGCTAAGCTG